CAGGGTTGGCAGAAAAAATTAAATTGAATTTTAATGTACCGATAATTTTATTCTTTTGGTGGGCAAAACTAAAATACGCAGAATTGTGAGGGGGCATTATTTACTGGGTAAAATTAATTGCGGGGTACAATCCTTTAAAACCCCGGTCTTTATCCAAATTAAATTAAATCGGGCCAAATTCGGCAGCACCCCAATTACAGAGATTTCACATAGTTCATTTTAGGATCCAAACTTGAGGGCTCTTATCTCGTCCGATCTGAGTCCAAACACTGTACAAAGGAGACGCACCATGCCCCCATGCCCTGGAGGCAAGAAAATGACCTGTTTCTGAAATTGCATCGGAGCAAAAAGGGGCAAAATTACTCTAATATGTTTTGCCCTTGAGGGCAAAATTATAATAAAATTAATAATATTTTTGTCCCGGGCAAAATTTTTATCCGGGGCAAAATATTGTGCACCGCCATGGGCAAATCATTTAATTCAATTTAATTTTTTCTGCCAACCCTGGGAAACACCTCCAAGGTGTTAAACTGTGTCGAATTAAGTCACACAGTCACGGCGTTTGTCACCACCCACCTCCCCTCTCCGTCCATGTCTCCATGTCTCCCGCACCCCTTTCTCGGGGCGCCGTAGCATGCTACCGCCGGTGTGGCACCACAAGTGACGGCGCCAGAAGTTGCGGCCCCAGTTTCCTGCTTGCGTCGCCAGGTGCACGGCCGGCTGGATCCGCTCACTTTCGCTAATAAGAGGGACATCTCGGCGCCGCCATAACGTTTTGATTTTTTATGTCGCCGCAGCAGAGCGCCGCCGGGTGGACCGGGTGTCTCGCAGCAGCGGCCGGGCACTTTGGGGACCGGCTCTGCGCCCATCAATATCGGATATTGGTAAGCACGACGGGTCCCGGCCACGCGCCCCGCCGCGCCGCCCCTCCGAGGCCGTTAGCGAGCGTGTCCTCATGACGAATGATCTCCCTCCCCGTGCTGCGGGGCCATGGGGCCGTGCCGGGGCCTTGGCGCGGAGGGTGAGGCCAGCGCTGTGCACCTTTCATGAGCCCCTCGCCAAACACATGGAGCCAGCAGGGCAGCAGCGGTGGGGAGTGGCGAGGCGTGGCGTGGCGTGGCGAGGCGTGGCGGGGGCCACTGAGCCCCGGTGCATTGTGTAGCGCTCCATCAGCCCTGCTCTGGCCCTGGCCCCACCACTGTGAGAGCCAAGTCGGGTCAAAACCCATCCCCCGCCCCGCCCACCTCCTGGACACCCCCCCCCCCAGATGCATTTGTCTGGAGCCTGAAGGGGAGTAATCGGGTGGGTGTGTGCGGAAGGTCAGTATCACGCGACGGGCTTCTGATCCCGGCGGCCAGTAGTCCCTCTCCTGGCCTGGGGCACGGGGGTCTTGTGGTGCAGGGGAAGAAGGGGCTCTGACACGAGGCCGACGACGCGCAGAGCAGTGTCATGGTGCGCGCTCTGCCGGCGGGCCCGAGACCCCCGTGGAGCTGGCCGGCCCGGACCCGTCCTTAGCATTCCAGCGGGAAAGACGCTCCGCCTCGCCCAGGTAGGCACCAACGAGCAAATGTCATTTATAAGTTTAATTTTTAACACTATTTACTATAGCCTTTTCTAAAAGCATACCAGTTGACTTACTGTAGTTTTTATTTTGGCGTGCATTTTTACAGCAGACAAGCCTGAATAACACTAGTTTAATGTCTTGAATGTTAATGAGAATCTAGGATTATAATAGTAG